TGGAACTGCAAGCTTAAGTCCTCCGGGCACCAGGAGGGCACCAGGGCACCAGGGCCAGGCAATCTTGAGGTGTCCTCTGGGTAGTAGTCCCAGACATTAGGGTGCCAGACAAATGTATGAATTCCTTTCTGGGAGATACTGGCAGCTTGGAGCAAGGCAGAGGGACTGTGCAAAGATGATGTGTCCACTGGCCTCTATCCCCACAGCGCATCTTAGTAGACCCCTAGATATGTACCAAACTGGAAGTTTGCCCCTCAGGCTGAAGCTCCGGAACGAGCAAATGGGTCTGTCACAGAGAGACGTGATGTGTCTTTCGGTTTGCTGTCTGTTCAGTGCCCTGGTGGTGACAGCCGGACAGGAACCATCCCCCGAATTGTTAAGAGTCCCATGGAATCCAGGAACACATGCCCTGCTGGTCACCAAGTGCTCAGTGATTGAGGGGCATCCCCTGGGTGACAGCCATAAAAGTTGGAGCACCAGACACATGGACAAGCTCCACTCCAGGAGATACTGGCACTCTGGAGTGTGGTGGGGGGTGGGGGAAGTGAGAAGTCTGCACCAGCTGCTGAGGTCTCTGGAAAGGATGACAGTAGGGTGTTAACTGTGGCTTAATTAGAAGCTGACCCCTCAGGCTGATGATTTAAGATCAGCAAACAAGCCTCTTTCCCTGAAAGCCTGGGTGCCTCTGAATCGGCTGTTCTGTGCTGGTCCTGAGGCAAGTAAGTCTGTGCACAGGCTTTTGAAGAGCAGTTTTACAGTTTGCTCTATAGCCCTAAGGGTCTCATGGACAGAAACCCCATTATTTTCGATATTCAGTGTTTTGGGGGCTTGTGTTTCAGGGCCAGGTCTTAGAAGCTGGAGTTGCCCAGTGTAGAGTACAAAACCTTTGCTTCTCAGGAAAAGCTCTGGGTTTTGAGTATCTGCCTTTGCGGGTGCTCATGCCAGGGGTGGGGTTAATGGCCAGATTGTGTTTCAGCCTCCCATACCTGCATCAGTGTGGGGTTTTCTTGTTTGCCTGATGTGTGTAGGCCTTACTTTAGTTTTTAGGGTTGTTTTTCCAGAGGAAACTGTTCAAATGCAGCTGTAGATTTCATGTGTCTGTGGAGGGAGGTGAGTTCAGGATCTTCCCGTGACGCCATCTTGAACTGAAACCTGCCTTTCTCCTTAAATAGGGAGTACTGGCCACCATGCTAAATGCCAACTTCTTTTTAAGGCACTGAGCCAAGTGTGTGGGATGAAACAGAAAAGGTAGGTGCCTGGACCTCACAGAACTTATAGGTTAGCAGGGGAAAGTGGATATGAAAATAATAATTACCCAATAGAACAGCACTGTGAATTCTGTGAAGGAGTAGAGTACCAATCAATTATCTAATAGGAGATAGTGACCTAGTTGGGGTGAGGGCTGGGGAGTTTTGGAGATCATTTGACGCCCAGGACAGGGATTCACATGCTCTGGCACTCAGGCATGTCCAAGGACCTGTGTCCTTGGTGTCTCTTTGTCTGTAGATCTCTTTGCCTTCTACCATCACTGGCCATGGTCTCCCACCGCTTCTTGACATCTTGATTCCATGCATGTCTTCTTCTGAATCTTCTCTAATTTCCAATTTTAAAGTTTTAGGAGAGGCAGAGGCCCTAACTCATAGATTGCTGGTAGACCTGGGCATGGATTTCTCTTGGGTGAAGTGTCAGCCCTGATTTAAGAAACTGAGATTCAAGGTCAGGGTGAAATGTTAAAAATATGGGGGTGGGGGGGAAAGTCTGGTAATGAACATTCATTCACTCAACAAGTACTGAATGTGCCAGATGTTGGGGAGGGTATGGCCTGGACTGTATACTCATGAACTTGTAGTATACTAAGGAACACAGTAATACATAGGCATAGGTGCCAGGTGTGCAAAAAACAAGGGCCCCCTGAGCCTTCCTGAAGAAGGAATTGGGCCTGAACGGCATCCAGAAAGTTGAGTCGATTAGCCAGCTGAATGCAGGGTGGGCCAACACGGGGGTGGGGGTTGCTAAGGGGACTTGCAGGATGCTGGTGGCAGCGTTGTATAGCCGAGGGACTTCCTGGGAGCCTGAATGGGGGAGCAGAGATGTGCATATGTGCTCGAGTCGAGGGTGAAGACATGGACGGCCGGAGAGGCAGCCAAGTGGAGCTTGGAATGTGGGACAGAGCCATGCGTGCATCAGAATCAGCTGGAAGGCTTGCTGAAACAGATTGCTGTGCCCCACCCTCAGTTTCAGAGTCCGTCTGTAGGAGAAGATGCATTGCCACCAAGTTCCTGGGTGATACTGGTCCAGAGACAACATGCAGAGAAGCACTGGGTCAGAGGAAGGCCAAGAGTGAGGGGACTGGCCAGGAGTGAAGGGAGGCTCCTGGAGAGAAAGGGATTTATTGGCAGCCACCGTGCTCGTCTCTTCACACATAATCGCAGTTCTGAAATGTCATCCTTATTCTGGAGTAAAGGAAGCACAGAGGCAAAAATCTGTGCCCATGGCCAGTTAGTCAGTGACTGCGTCTAGATTAAGACACAAAGCCTGTTCCCAGCCACACCAGAATGGACAGTTGAGTGGTGATTGACAGCTTGGTGGCGGGGGCCACAAGGAAGGGAGACAGAAACTTCATGGGACTTCCAGTTTGGGCAAACTTTCTGTTTGGGCAACAGGATGGTAGATGTCATTGCCTAGAGCAGGTTCAATTTGGGAGACCTTAAACTCGGGTTTGCCTTTCGGGTTAGGACTGGCGTGTTATGCTTTCTGAATAAGTCCCGATGTCCGGTAGACAAGTGGATGCAAGGGTCTGGGGACTCAGGAGAGGACCAGACTGAGGGGCCAGAAAGCATCATGTGGGTGATGTCATGTTAGGAAGCCCCAGGAATATGAGGCAGGCAGCGGGAAGGGAATGGGGACCTCCCGGAGGAAATGAACAGCCAAGGAGCAGGCGAGAAGAGGGCTGACAGCTAAGGGCCGGGCAGTGACGGTGATGGTGGTTTCGGGAAGTGTGTGATGGAAGCATTGCTGCTGTAGAGGTCGGGCAGGGACCGGGGTGTGCTGCTGGATGTAGTAAGCACGTCAGTGGCGACCTCAAGCAGGCCCGTTTCAGGGGACAGGTTAATGGGAGGCAGGAGGTGGCAGAGGGATGATTAGGAGGTGAGCAAGTCACGGGAAGAGGCCGGGCGGGATGGTTCTATTGCGGATTTATAGGTCTGAAAAGTAGCTGGGGTCAGTATTCAGGAGCAGTTTCTGCCACTGTTCGGGAGCCTTCCTTAGCGACTGCGAACAGGGCTTAAGGGAGAAACCAAGTGCAACATAGAAATGAGCCCAGGTGTTGTCTTGCTTTTAGAAAGCTTAGAAAGATCTGGCCCCTTAGGAGGGCTGATTTGGGTCCCAGTTTTACCCATCCCTTAGCTGCTTCCTCCAGAGCAAACTTTGGGCTATAAAACTTTTTGTTTAGAGGATTGTCCGAAGGTAGAAATATTCTGGTGGGAAGGGGACAGGAGGTGCAGAGCCTCCCCTGGTCTTGCTGTGTTCCACCCTCCCTCCGGGTGTCTCAAAGCCTAGGGCTGCTTAGAGCAGTGAGAAGCCCCAGCCTGGAGGCCACCTGGGGTCACCCCCAGCCTTGACTGTGTCAGGTCACTGGACCATCATCATAGTAGTGTGTGTTCCCTGCTCAGTTCTCGGGGATGCCAGAGAGCAGACACGTGGTGATAAGGGCAGGGACAGCAAACCTGCCAGGGCTGGATGGGTTTAAGCACATGGCAGGGGTCTCCTGCCGCCATCACGGCAGTGAAGCCCGGCATGTCCTCCAGCAGCTAGTTACCACCTGTCTCATGGTCCAGTAATCCTGACAGCTCTCTCTGTAGCTTCCTCCTGGTTTCCTTATGTCGGGCTGAGCAGATGGCTCTCTTTAAAGATGGCTGCCTTACAGGTGCAGAGCTTATCCCAGGGGAAGGGGCCCCGAGAAAGGAAGAGCTGCTGGGTTAAGGGCAGACCACCCAGCCCTCCCAGTTCCTCTGACTGGAGGGGGTAGGGACAGTGGACAGCCAGTATGTGGGGATGGTCTGTCCCCCTTCCCCTCCCAACTACGCAGCTTGGAAGTGAATCGCAGGCAAGAGGCACGAGCAATGAATTAAACTTTGGAGGAGAAAAAATACTTGAACAACTTCTCTGATCACGCGCAGAGCACGATCACTCTGGGGCCAGTGGTTAAGGACTCTGGACTGTTCCATGCTTGAAGCAAGGACAGCCTCGGAGCAGGGCTACTGAATAGCACTCGGGCTGGAATACGGAGCCAGGAGATCGAGGAGGGCGTTTTTCTGCTCCCTCTTTGAAAGCAGGCCTTCTCAGACTTGACCCTGAAGTAAACAGATCTCTTACCTTTTTTTCTTAAGTGCCTTCTGGCACATAAGCGCTTTCTGAAATGGAGCCGTTTGCTGCCACACTGGGAACATGCTATGTGAAAAAGGAAGCACGTGTAGAGACACACATGCCGCTGAGACAGTGTGCACGGGGGCTTCTGCCGCTCAGACCCACCGAGGCCTCACAATGCTTGAGGCATTGTGGCTGGGACCGAGAGATGGCAGGTGGGCTGAGGGCTGGGACAACACCAAGTGACTTCATCTTTCACAGGACATGTTTTCCCACCTGAGAAGCAGAGGATCGGCAGCAGCTGGAGTTACACCCCCTCCTCCCCCCCCCCCCCCCCCGCCCTGAGGTGGCCCATGCAGGAGAGAACAGGTCGGGTAAGGCCATCTCCTCACAATGAGAGAGAGCCTGGGCAAAAAGTTTCCCCTGAACAGTGGTTCTCCACTGTGACTGTGACTCCAAATTGCCTAGAGAGCTGAGGAAGCCAGACGGCCAGTTAGCTCTGGTTCAGGGGGTCTGGGGCTGCCCAGCTCCCCAGTTCCCAGTGGGTGCCAGGGAAGCTGCTGGAACTGGGCTGTGTGCTCGGAGAGCCGCACTCAGATGTCCAGGCCCCAAAAGGGAAGAGGGCACGAGACAGATTCCATTATAATAGCCATCTTTATTTGTAAAAATCCAGATATAAAATGTATTCTTTCAGTCTTTCCAAGTTTTCCTTTTTACAAAAACAAAAAGGCACATAAAAACCATCCCCGCTGTCACTCCCATAGACGAGGTTTTTCAGGCAGCCCTCCCCCCTCCCCCCCATATAGCTACATGCTTCATTCCAGGACGTCTCGCTCCCCCACATGCTTCGGTGCTTTCCTACCAGGGTAGAGTTCCGAATTCCAAGACTGAAGTACACAAAGGGGGTGGGGGTGGGTGCGAAGTGTGTGGCGCGATGCTCCGCGGCGTGCAGGACACAGGGTCTAGTAGTAGGTCTCCTTCTCTACCCAGCCTGGAGGCAGCACAGACAAGACACATGGCAGTCAGGCCTCCCAGCTCTAGTGCAGTGGGAACGACAGGGAGCGACCGGGGGTGGGGGTCACCCAAATTCAATACTGGGCTTCAACTGTTCTTACTGCAAGTGTTTCTAGAAAGGACTTGTTAATTGGGAAGATGGCTCCAATTTCTGACCAGCTTCCCAGTCTATCATATTGGGTTTGAGTTCCATTCAAAATAGGATTGCTTCTGAAAGCCTTTGGGGATGGTACTGTGGCTGTAGGCGGTCCGGGTTGCCTTAGCCCACCCGACTGATACAACAGAAGCCACAGAACTACAGCCTCCCCCACACCCCCGCTGAAGCTAAAAGGTCTGTAATTACCTCCAGGGCGTCGCCTGATGATGAGTTTTCGGACTTCATCGTACACGAAGATAAGAAGAGAGTAGGGGAAGGCACAGAACCACCAGGTAGGTCTGGAAGGAGAAGCAGGTACCAGTTTAACCCGTGAACACAATTCAAAGGCAAGAGAAGGTATATCACAGTGACAGTGGAATAGTCTGGAAGGAGCCAAGCACGGTCACAACTAACCACTAAGCCCTTAGTGTGGACCACACAGCAGGGTCTTAGGAACAGAATGCTGTTCTCTGTGGCCAGGGCCTAAAGAGAGGCAGCGCAAAGCCAACCACAGACTTTCTTCACAAGTCCCCTTCCCACCTTCAAGTCTGGTTTTTGTAATTTGGTTTGTAGGAGGAGTTGAGATTTTTTGTTTACCATCCCACAGCAAAGGCACATTTTCTTTCCTCCCTTTCCAAATTTTAAGAAGCCTGAGAGTGACCTGTGTCTATGTCCTGGTCTATGTGCAGATCAAGACTGCCAGTGTGGGTCAAAACCAGTTTCTCTATCCCTTGCATTCAGTCAGCTGTGTGTTGAATCCTGTGTTGGGGAACGAAAACAGCTGAGCTCTTAACAGAGAGCAGAGGCCTTTGGGAGCCTGGAGGGCCGCAGCCACAGTCCCCAGCCTGGAGACAGGTAGCTGGGGCAGCCTCGCCAGAAGGCTGTGCTTTCCTGACGACCAGCTCCTGCAGTCAGTGCGTGAGGGAGGCTGTCCCAAGACAGGCCTGGCACTCTCCTCTTCTTCCTGGTGCTAGGCATCCTCCTCCCCAGCTAAGAGAGGACCTCCTGTGACTTAGCCACAGAGTAACTAACCCACCTTTCGAACTGAACAGAATCTGTTCAGGAACAAGCTCCCTAGTCAGAACAAAACATGGCCTGAGGCACTACTCCATTTCAGTGACTTTCCATCTCAGCCTTTTGGAGAGCTGGGTTCTCCTACCCTCTTCTCAAAAAACAACGGCTCAAGTTGATGGGGCAAGCCTTGTCTAAGCGGCATCCTCCTAGTGTGCACCAGCTCTGTGTAAGGTGCTGCAACAAAGATCCTATAACCCATGCCTTAAAGATTACCTAGCGGGGAGCAGAAATAACAAGTAATAGCAAAGAAAGGTGCAGATGTACGTGTCCAAGAAAGCAAGATCACACAGGGCTAGCTCCAGGAGATAGGCCCTCAGGGACTCTCTGGTGTCATGGGGTGGGAGGGAGCATCCTTACCAAGGACCCATGCAGGGAGAGAGAATACTGAATTCCCCTAACAGAAGCTTGGATGGCTACAAGAGAAGGCTGAAAAGACAGGCTGGACAGTAGCAGACCGACCCCTGGACGCCAGGCCACCCTTGCACAGAAGGGATGTCTGTATAGACCCAGCAAGATGCTGGTGAGGCCCACGGGGCTTGGCTCCTTCGGGGATGGGGTCAAGTTACTCCAATTCATGCTTCTGATAAACCTGTGTTTTTCACCTACAGGGTTTACCACCAAGTCCCTCACTGCCCCGGGCTGGTGGGTTTCCTTTGGTCTACTCTACCCATGACCCACCTCCAGCCTGCTTCTCCCGCCTCCTTCCTTTGAGAACAGAGGATTCAGGGGCCCACAGAGGTGGGGGACTGACAGCACACACAGGGGCTAGGTAAGTAAATAAAGATGTGAACCCCGTCCCCAAACCTCAGAATACCAATGGCAAGTGGGACTGTTGCTGTGGGGGGCCCGAGCACTCTCGCAGTTAGCTGGCGAGCCATCCCAAGGTACCAGAGCCTGTCCGGCCTGATCTCAGCCAAATCCTAAGCACCCTGGTCAGTCCTTCCTGATTTCCAGTGCAGAGGAATTCTTATACAGGCCACCCCAAACTCCTAAAAACACCAGCTACTAGTGCATGTCACGAGGGAAGTCCCACTTCTGTTTCATACTTTGGGGAGCTGGGTGAGGAGCGACTTACTTGAGGGGGTACATCCTCAGGGCAACACCCATTCCAGGGCAGTAGGAAAGGAAAGCAGCAAGGGCCGTCTCTTCAAAGAGGCCAAATATTAAGATCTTGTTCCTAAAATCAGGAAGACAGAAAGCTTAAGAACACAAACAGAAGCTTATGTTCTAACACACTGTTCAACAGCAGATCGATGTCTTTATGTGCTCGTTGCACTTAGGAACTGCAGGGCAGATGAAAAGAAACGCTGGAAAATCACATTTTGCTTCCTAAATTCGTGCCAAAGGGGAGATTCCAGAAACTGCCATGTGCCTTGGACCAGGATCTTACGAAGCGCTGAGGGATCACCAGAGCCCGGGGGTCTGAGGGCCCCAACTGTCCTCTACTCACTTCATCCCCTGTTGGAAGACAGAGTTCCTCCTGGTCTTACAGATGACCAAATCAGCCCACTGCACCACGACGATACTGACAAAGAAGGCTGTGTGGCAAGTGAACTCCACGATCTTCCTCTGTTCGTAGGTCTGAAACACAAAAGACAGACAGATGAGCCTGGCTCTTGGCCCTCATGGCTGGTGGCCTTGAGGAGCTCCCCACTGGTTAGGCCCTCACTTACCCACTGCTGCCCGTAGCTGTCCTCCACATCGTTGATCCAGCGGTCATCCCAGTCCACGCGCAGGCCCAGCAGGTGGGTCGGGAGGAAGCCGTTCTCAGCCAAAATCACAAAGTACGTGAAGAAGCCGCCCAGGGCCTGGATCATACCTGCAAGTGTGGGAAACAATTCTAACCCGGTTCCAGGACGCCTGCACACTTGTCTGACCGCCACAGCAGGCCTGGGATGGTACATATTAGGGGCTGTCTTTGGCACTGGTTGGGAGAGGAGCGGGAGGATGGAGGACCCCAGGGGCACAGCCACCGCCCAGCAGCCTCTTCTTGTTTTTGAGTCACTGTTTTAGAGCTTTAAAAGGGGAAGACACACAGGCCTTGCTCTGGAACACTCACTCCTGTCATATGATCATGTATCTACCAGGGCAAAGTCTCTTTAGGGGAAAAGACTTCCCTATTTTTTTAAATTTCTGCTACAATGTGACTTTTCCCATCTGTTTTCACATTCCTGATAGTCAATGTGGCACCTTCTGACCAACTGCTCCCCCACCCCCTTCAGGACCCTTTTCCCCTGGCATCTGATCCCACCACACCACCCTGAGTTCCTCAGGGCCAGGTTTCATCCTATGCTCTGGCCCTCGTCCCCCTTAGAGTTAGGTCTTCCTGGTCATTAGCCAATTTCTTGTCAGCAGCTGTTAACAAGTCTCTGCCGTATTTCCATCAGAAACTCCTCTGTTCCGCTTTACAGAAGTTCAGTGATGTAACCCATTGATCCAAAGGCCTGGGCTGCTCCTGGTGGCCTCACCGGATTCTCCTGAAGGCCACTAGGCAGAACACGGAGGATCAAAGGGCATTTTCACTGCCCATCCCCTGAAGACCACCTGTTAGCTGGTCATGCTTCAGGTACCATGGGAATCAAGTCTTGGGGTGGGGAGAATGGGGGTGCAAGGCCCTTTGGTGGTGACCCGCCCGCCAAAACTTCAAGCTCGTGCAATTTCTTCAAAGCCTAACTCTCTACCAAATTAGTGACCGACACCCTATCCCCAGGAAACACGGCCTCTGAATGGACTGTGCCTGGCATGAGAAACCAAGCCTATCTGAGGCCTCCCCCCATGCTCCCCTCTCAGGGCCAGGGTGCGGCGGCTCACCGATTTGCCCGTAGGCCATGCTGATCAGCCGCTCATTCACAAGCTTGTCCGTTTTGGGGTTTCTGGGCTGTCTCTTCATGATGTCGCTCTCAGCTTGCTCGTAAGCCAGGGAGATGGCAGGAACCTGGGGGAGAAGCATAAAAGTTGTCAGATACCAGGAAGCCGACGGTGTGAACGTTTTATTATAAAGTCCTTGCCACCCTCCCCTTTAAAACTGGTTTTCATACCATGAGATGCTATAACCAGTCCTATTATAAACCGAAACAAAACAAGACTTCCCGTTCATATAATGTTGCTATCTGATAGACGGGTGTTGCCAGCTGCCTCGAGCACCGGGGAACGCGGCTTCCTGGGGGCTGAGGCCGTGGCGCGCGCCGGGTGCCCGTACGCCCAGCCTGACTGCGCGTTGCAGCACTGGGCGAGCCAGGGCCTGAAGCTGCCACGCCAGGCACTTACCATGTCCGTGCCCAAGTCAATGCAGAGGATGGTGACGGTCCCCAGTGGTAGTGGAATGTTTGCAATAATAAATATCAGGAAGGGGGTGATCTCCGGAATGTTACTGGTCAGGGTGTAGGCAATGGATTTCTTCAAGTTATCAAAGATCAGACGACCTGGAAAAGCAAGAGGTTGGCTTTTTTATTTTTTACTATAGAGGATAAAGGGATGGGCAGGCGAGGAGCAGACACAGAAGGGCAGTACTGGGATGAGGTTTTGGTGAACGCTTTGAAACACAGTGCTGCTCTCTCACCTTCTTCTACTCCAGTCACAATTGATGCAAAGTTGTCATCCAGAAGAATCATGTCAGCAGCTTGCTTAGACACGTCGGAGCCAGCGATCCCCATAGCAACCCCAATGTCTGCCTTCTTCAGGGCTGGAGAGTCGTTCACGCCATCGCCAGTTACAGCCACGATAGCCCCCTGCCAGAAGAAGGGGGGTGGGTAAGAGCCCCGAGGTCCGGGGTGGAGGCACACCAGGCACACACCTCAACTTGCCACTCCTCACTATGACCCTGCCCCTTTCCTCAGAGACCCTCAGCAGGCTCAGAACCAGCTTAGCCAAGATGCCACCCAGCCACCAGCCAACCACAGAATTAAGGAGTGCTGACAAACGGATCCCCTCCCCATACCAACAAGGGCTTAAGGACTTCTCAAGGGATGGGACAGGAGTCTCCTGCCGCTCATATCCTCTAAGACACGACGAGCCTGGACTGGTCTTCCAGGCCAAGTGTGGAGCCTGACTCTGGGCTACAGTGAAGACATGTGTGGCCAAGTACCGGGCTCTTTTGGGTCGTTATCAGGTTCCCCTGCCCTGAAGGCGCCTGCAGCCTCTTTCCGGCACACAGGCAGCGAGTCTAAGAAAAGCTGGGCCATGTTTCCGGCCCTGGCACTGTGATCACGGGGGTCAACAGGGCCTGAGAGAGCCTTGCCCTGGCTGCCTGCTAACCTGTCTCTGGCAGCCTTCCACGATGATAAGCTTCTGCTGAGGAGAAGTCCTGGCAAACACGATCTCCGTGTGGTACTTCAGAATGTCATCCAGCTGCTCAGAGGTCATGTCCTTCAGGTCGCTTCCATGCACCACACAGGCCTTGGCGTCTCTAGGATTGGGATGGGAAGAAAGGTCCCCCACTGCTTCACCCGTGTGATGCTCCTCACCACAAAGGAAGGTTCTACTACATGGGAGGCTTTGTACGACAGCCCAGGGTTAGACGCGATCTTCCCCATCGCCTTAGAGCTACCATCTGGGCAGTAGTCTGCAGGTTACAAGCATGTTCCTACATACTAGATCTCGTTCAAGACTCACCACCACCTGTGGGGCAGCGTGCCTTCGCCTTCCTTATAGAGGACATGTTGAAATGATAGGACCAAGTTCTAGACAGGAGATCAAACCCTCTCATAGCCCAATGCTGGGGGAAGGGGGCCCCACACTCCAACGAAACACCAGAACAATACCGCTTCGTCTCTGTTGCCTTCTGTACTGTCCTGTCCAAAGTCCTTTTTGGCCTGAACTACCTGGACAAGTTAGCGTGGCCCTGGAAACGGACTTGGTGCGAGGTGTTGGGTCGCATGCTCTGTGGTTAACAGCATGAAACTGAAGGCTCGACTACAGAGTGTACCATATGACAAAGCTTCAGCTTCCCTGCTCTGCAGCGTGGGACTGATGCCCACCTTCACACGTTACTGCGTCAGTGCTAAGAATATGGAAGCACCACCCAAGTGTTGGCTACAATGACATGCTCTCACTGAAACCTTCCCCTGGAAGGACAGGTTGCCTTCTGGAACTGCAGGGGCCTTCCCTATTCAGAGCAGGCCCAGAAGCACACCATCATGGAACCAAGCTGATGATCCCCAACCACCATCATCTGCACATTCAAGGCAGAGCAGGCTCTGAGTTTCCTGCCTTACCTGGGGTTCACCTGGCTCACTGGGATGTTGAGGCGGGCAGCGATGTCTTCCACGGTCTCGTTGCCTTCTGAGATGATGCCCACACCTTTGGCAATGGCTTTGGCTGTGATTGGATGGTCTCCAGTGACCATGATGACCTGGAACAACAAACAGGGCAATTTATTTGAATGCAACTGCCTAAGCAGGCAAGAAGAAATATTAAGGATGCTTCATCTTGGAATATCAAAAAGACAGGAATGCAAACCTAAAATGGGTAAACGTTAACCAAAAATACAAACATGCACCTGTTTATGAAAACACAAAGCAACATCCAGATCCTATCTTGGTATAGGACAAGATGTGTAACATCTGTTTTTCCTTTTATTACACAGTCACAAGAAAACTCAAATGTACTAAAACCAGCCAAAAAAAAAAAAAACAACAAAAAAAACAAACTGATGCTGATGGGACTGTAGGGCGAAAGTGCCACATACTGCCTGGGGAGCATCCCCAAAGTGGCTTAATTTGGGGAAAGAACATAAATACGTAGAAAGAATTCAAATCTTGATGCTGCTTTTCTGACCTGATGATTATATTCAGAAGACTACACTTACGAGTATAGTCAAAGTGGTGGGTGAGTTATTTTTACAAAGCTTTTCAGGGCGGTATTACCAACAAGAATGAGAGAGTGGAAACAAATCAAGACAGCCAGCACCAAGGCGGGCTCAAAAACCACCTGTTATCAGTGCACTTGAACAATGTTCCGTGACTTAGAGAGACAGATACAGAGGACACCACACATTCATTAAAAAACCAGTTAACTGAAAACGGAGAAGACCTCCTGTTCGCTACATGAAGTAGATCAATTTAGAACGCGAGTATTTCAAATTTAAGACCTTACGTCAAATCTTTTTGCTCTTTTCAATGATTTTCAGGCTTCCGTTTGTTTCCCCCCAAATGTTTTTTTTTTTTTTCTTTTGAATCCCTCATCTGCTGTCTACACCAACATTTTAATACCATTTGGCCTTTTCTAGTGGTAACCAAAGCTTTAGAGATAAGAAACTCATCCTTCCAGTGAGAAAACGAGCTGGCCACACGGCTCCCGTGGGGCCATGTGACTAAGCAGGGAGCCCCGAGGCACGACAGTGATGTCAAGGAAGCACACTACACACTTACCTTAATGCCAGCACTGCGACATTTGCCCACAGCGTCAGGGACAGCGGCCCGCGGAGGGTCAATCATGGAGATGAGGCCCACAAAGCAGAGGTTTTCAACAGGGAAGTTCACCTCATCTGTGTCAAACTGGAACCCTTCAGGAAACTGTTCATCGGGCAGAAACAGGTGGCAGAAACCTGCGAGGGCGGGGTGGGGTGGGGGGATCTGTGAGGACCTCACTGCAGGCGACAGCCCAGGACAGTAGGTCATTCGGATGGTCTACCTCTGGCTCCAAGCTGAATTTAGAATATTGTTTCGAGTTTTAAAGCCGTGAGGTTTTATGTAACAGGTACAGATGCTATGGAGTCAGAAAAACCATGCAAATGACAGAGGCCATGGCCAAACCTCAGTGAAGCACCCTGTCCAGTGCAGAGAAGACGGACAAGGACAGAACTGCTAGGCACTGGGACTACAGGCTTCTAGACCTGCCACTCAGGTGCTTGGATTAGGCAAATCATGTCATTATTTGACTCTGCTTCTTTCTTTAGAAAAACTGAGCTCCCATCTCTGCTCGCTGTTCATCTAACCACAATTCATCACTGCCCACCAGCAAGGGCCAGCCTGCCAGCCATGCTGAGGATAAATACGAAGCAGACACATTCTGCCCGAGGTGCTTATCACACAGTATCACTACTGCAAGATCAGGACATTCCAGAGGCTCCCACAATGTGGTATGAAGGTTACAATGTTCCTTAAAGTGGTAGGAGGTGGCAAGTAGGTTCGAGGAAGAGAGAACGCTTCTACTCTGGGCCCGCAGACACGGGGAACGGGGAAACAACACTGGACAGTGATTTTTCAGTGAAGAGAGACTTATAAGAGAGACATCTCAGATCGGATGAGGGAACCAGAGGACAGGCCCAGGCAATCAGTTCTGAGTTACTAAGCTAAGCGGAACAGGAGTACATCAATGATGGCTTTTTACCTGTCCACCTCCAAAAGAGTGCAAACGTCTCTTTCTCAACTACATTGTACAATGAGTTTAACACAGTTCTCGTCTGCCCTCGCTGACCTACTCGGAAGGACAGGTGGCTCTCTGGATGAAAAGTCTGCCGCGAACGTCATTTGTGAGCGGACCCATACGGTCCAGTGTAAATTCACAACTGTTGGGCCAGTCAGGAAATGATTTTACTCTAGGCATTAATTTTAATTTCATTAAGTTTGTAGGTCATAGTCCTAGCAACAAAGGTTTGATAATAAAGCTCTTCCCCCGGCCCTCTTTTTTTTTCCAGGCAAACAGAACTGACCAGCCTGAGACCAAAGGTCTAAGTACGAATCGGAAGCAAACCAACAGGGTTTTGTTGCTTCGAGGCCCCCAACAAGTCTCTCCACACATCTCTCCAGCCCTTCCTATTTTCAGAATAGCAGAGCAGATCGAGGAGGAGGAGGAATCTTCTGGAAAGGCTCAGGCGAGGTCAGGACACTGCAGAGGCAGACCAGAGCAACAGCCGTGCGGCTGGCCGTCCCCGTCCGTACCTAGCACGCGCTCTCCGAGGCCGCCGAGCTCCAGGTAGGCGTTCTGGAAGGCGTCCTTCAGCTCCTCATCCAGGGGCTGCTCCTTGCCGTGCAGGAGGATGGAGCTGCAGCGGTCCAAGATCCTTTCCGGGGCGCCCTTCATCACCAACAGGTGTCGGGGCTCAGACGTGTTGGGGTTCTTGTGGATGGACAGCTGTAAAGGACGGTGGAGACGTGAACACCAGTAGCTGCAGGGAGCTCAGCTCACCTACTGCTGAGAGTGTCAGGACAACCACCCAGGTCCCCTACTTCTTAACTTCGGTGTCCCACACCTTGTCGCATACTTTGAATGCTACCCGAAAAACCAGAACGGCGAGGTCGCCCTAAATCCCTGGCCTGTGTTCCTTCGGAAACCTCTCCTGAAGGGAAACTGGGAACAAAAGGACAGCCCGTCCGTGGATGCCTCGCCCCCTCCCCACAACCCCTCTCCAAACCATAAGTACACCAGAGGGCCCCAACACGTTAGGAGAGGGTTTGTTTTTCCTACTGAAACACAAGTTAGCATTTTCTATACCTAATTCAGGGTCAAATGTAAAAGTTCACAGAAAGTTGGGAGAATTCATTTTTTGAAGCCATTTAAGCTTGTAACATTTCAAATGGGCAAACAGCTCTCCTTCTGGCTTCCAGCCCTCCCCGCCTGCCCCCTGGGCTGCCTGTGCCACTGCTAGGCCACCTGGTACTTGTTGGTGGAGTTGAAGGGGATCTCTACGATCTTGGCGTATCGCTCTCTCATCTCCTTCACAGAGCCACAGCACAGCTCGATGCATTTCAAGAGCGCGGACTCCGAGGCGTCGCCTGCCACTGCCCGCTGTGAATAGAGATGTCACCTGTGAGTAATCCTGCAGCGCACCACTGAACACCTGGAGAGTTCCCCAGATACATCCGAGCTTGTTCGAGGTGGAGGACAGGGTAGGCGAGGAAGAAGCAGCGATGGCAGCAGGGACCAGCCTCCCTCTGCTCAGACACACCCCAGCCTCCTCCTATCTGCCCACCTGCCCCACCCCAGTTCCAGCTTCCAGTAGAAGAGGGGTGCCTGAAGGGGTTATCCACCCTTGAGAGGAGCATAACACACTCTTCTAACCTACTTTAGCCTGTTTTTTGTTTTGTTTTGTTTTTTTAAAATCTTCCCCTGTTGCAAGGTCTCAAAGCCAACACTATTCCGAAGGATGTACTCCTGGTTGTGAACCTGAAAATACCAAATGAGAGTCCAAATGTTTACAGCACCTACAACTTAGAAGAAAATCCCTTCAGTTCCCAGGACTGGAGGCAAACTGTCTGTGTCAAGGGCAAAATAGAGGGCTTTAAACATTCAACTGTGCAAAATCATCTTGGCCTGAATGGTGTGAATGGAAAGCTATTATTAGCTCCAACAGTCATATAATCAGCTAACATTTTAAGTTGAAGTCCACACTTGAGGTAACACATACTTCTCTTTTGTGTGATATACTGGGACATACTAAGAACATTTTAGCTGTAGCCAACTTTTATATAAACACTTGAGAACTCTGACTGCTTTAGGACTACACAGGCAGATGAAAAGATTAATGCTCATAAACACAGTAGCCCCATTTAGTAAGAAAGGTGGCTAGGTTTGTTAAGAAATGTGGAATCAGTGGAATCATTTTTAACAAAGGCCAGTTATTAAAGCACAATAGAGCAGCATGCCTTTTGGGGGGGGTGGAGGAGGGACAGTAATAATGCCACTGACACGGCCCCGCCCCCTGAAATAGTCAAATACAGGCCATGCTCCCTCTCTGGCACTTTTAAGTGGGGAAAGATCTGATACCTATTACGTTCTATGCTGAAAACCTAGAAGATTTCCACTTTGAGGTAAGGAAATACATGAAAGCAGGCATCTCAAGTTCTGTCCCAGGATAAACAATATCTTCCTCTAATCAACATTAATTCAATGCCGACAATGCCTCCTTCAAAGGATACAGGGGTCCCATCTTCCCAGGAGAAGCCCTCTCAGTTCCATCTAAGTGGGCCTTCTTTCTCTCAGACAGCCTGGTCTCTACCCAGAACCACCCCCAGCAGCCCTGCTGAGAACAGGAGCCCAGAGGGCCTCCTCACACGTCTTCCGCAGCCTCAACAACCCTGTGCAGCTATGACCTTTCCAAGATTGTCTCCACAGGCAGCACAGTGAAACCTCAGTCATTTCGCATTTCACATGAATTCCATGAGCCTGAGCTTATTTTTGCATCATTAGTAAGCAAGCGGAGAACAAATAAGATAAGAGAAATAGCTGGGCTATTTTAAGAAAATAAATGGCTTAAGGGATTTACTGGAATCTACTGTATCCTAATATGCAAATACGATTATCGAGTCACAAAAGCAGCCCTCACTGTCTGCTAGGTTAGCAGATATCATACTCAGAGTGGCAAAACTGGGTTTTACTCATTCGGTTTCTCACGGTAAAGACTGCTTCCCACTTCTGGTCAGTTCTTACAGCAGAGTCCCTCTTCTTGAACCTCTGCAGACTGCAAGTAACCCTTAGGGCTTTGGGATCCCCAGACAACACTTCACAAGGAGGGTGTCCCATGAGGAGCAATCCCCTTACAGAACCCAGAGGGCACATGCTTTCTGAAGGAAACACTCAGGTGGTGGTTCTTGTGGGGTACCTACACCCCCACACGGCGGCCTAACAGCAAACAGGAACTCCTGCGCATACCTTAAGGATAGGTAGGTTTTCCTGGTTTGCCTGAAACACCGCCCTGTTACAGAGACCCGCAATTCTGGACAAAGCGAGCCAGGTGGCTGAACTCTTGTCAAATGAGACACCTGGCAGAGGCAGGAAAAAAAAAAAAAAAGAAAAAGAATGCATTACCTTTGTATTAACATCCCATAAAAAGGGAAATGTTTCATCTCATTTCCCAACTAATGAAACTAGTCAGGTTTCAGGGCAAAGTCAAAAGAAATCTCAAACCCACTCCCTTAACTCCTTACCAAATGATAAAAAACAAAAACAAGAACTTAAAAAAAAAAAAAAAAAGCCACATGAGGTGAGGCTATGGTGTTGGGTGGGCCTGGGCCTTACCACTCTGATTCTCTGTCGTGTCGGCTTCATGAATTTGATTGTCGAACCACATGTGGGCCACTGTCATCCGGTTCTGAGTCAGAGTTCCAGTTTTATCCGAGCAGATGGTAGATGTGGACCCCAAGGTCTCCACAGCTTCTAAGTTCTTCACTAAGCAGTTTTTCCTTGCCATGCGTTTGGCAGTAAGGGTCAGACATACCTAAAAACCATTAGGAACCAGATTATTTCAATCTCAACAAGAATGGAATTCTATAGAAACTCCCTAATATGGAAGATGCTGGTCTAAAATTAAACCTCTCCAGCCATCCTCTGAAGTGTGAATAATAATGGGAACATGTATAGAGGGCTCCCCTCTTCCCATAAAGCAACAGATTAATAAAAGTGAAAATAGCCAGGATTTACCGAATTATAGTGCCCCTGCTCACCCCCTTAATTCTCCTTTGTTATACTGCTGTGGATCATGTGATCAGGTCAGATCAAGATTTAGGCCTATTTAGGCTTTGGGGTTACTATCTTCCATGTAAAAAACACACCAAGCCTCCCCGCTATCTAACCCTACCACGCACAAGCACATGCGATTAACCCTGAATCAGCGGCCACTGTCACTTGGGGGGAGGGGGCGGTTCTCAGGTGCCAGCGGATGGAAGAGTGTGCACGGTTTTCCCCGAGCTGCTTACCGTGACAGTGGCCAGCAGACCTTCGGGCACGTTGGCTACGATGATGCCGATGAGAAAGATGACGGCCTCGAGCCAGGTGTACTCAAGGATAAGAGAAAGGATGAAGAAGGACACACCTAGGAACACGGCCACACCCGTGATGATATGGATAAAATGCTCAATTTCAGCAGCAATGGGAGTCTGTCCTCCTTCCAGTCCAGAAGCAAGTGTGGCAATTCTTCCCATCACGGTGCGATCCCCGGTATACACGACAATGCCACGCGCGGTACCTTAAAAAAGAAGGGAGGGGGAATTGTACCATGTTTCATCAAAGAAGTCACAGCTTTTGGACGATTACCTGTCACGGTTAAAAAAGAGACAAAACTACGCGCTTCCAAGGGCCAGCTCTTTGGTGGGTTATGCACAGTTTCACACCACGGAGACTGGCGAAGGGCATTATATCCAGGAGCAGGACAGCAGCTCCCAAGGCCACTGCCAGGTTAGCACACCCAACCGTAGAGGCGTGTGGGAGGTGGGGGGTGAGGACAGCCAGCCAGCCAGCCCCCAGGCTTCCAGAGCCTTCCTGCCAACGACTGATCCGCCGCATCTGCTGTGCTTGACCACAGCAGTCAGACAAGGGGCCAACAAAACCAGAACAGGAATTGCATTTCTGGTTTTTGTTGTTGTTATTGATGCCCAAGATAAACAGCACGCTGTGAACAGAACAGCGCCTTAAAATGGTCTGTCTACCTTCCACACAGTTGGTTGAAAAGAAGGCAATGTTCCTCGTTTCCAGGGGGTTTTCATTTGTGAAGTCTGGAGACCTAGTCTGGGGCTCTGATTCACCAGTGAGTGAGGAGTTGTCCACCTGTCCGTGAGACAAGTAAGAGGGCTGTGTGAACACACGCCGGGCCATCCTGTGCACTCCGCCTGAGCCCGGGGACCCCGCTGAACCCACCTTGCAGCCGTTGGCAGAGATGATTCTGAGGTCAGCAGGAATTCGGTCCCCTCCTTTCACTTCCACCAGATCCCCAACTACAACTTCCTCTGCGTTAATGCTCATTTTTTCACCATTTCGAATCACCAGGGCTTGCTTTGGGAGAGAACAGTTTCCAATATTCAATCAGAGAAAAGAGGCTGCTCACAAGGACTGGGCAGTGTTGAAACAAGAAAGCCAAATTCCAAAGGGATCTCTAATATGAATCATACAAGTACACGACAAGGAGATTATTGATCTATTTATACAAGTTACAAAAGCTTGCTGGGTTATCTGCAAGGTGGCCCTCCTTTCCCATCAACTCAGAAACCTTAGCTCCACACTAGCTCTCATCCCCGGGGGTCTCAATGGAGAGGGCAAAGCAATCGGTACCTGGGGGACCATGTTTTTGAAGGATTCCATGATCTTGGAACTTTTAGCTTCTTGATAGTAGGAGAAACAACCAGTTATGATGACGACAGCTGATAGTACCACACCAAGATAAAGCTGGAAGGGAACAAACAATTTAGGACCACAGGCTTGTAGTAAGGAGCTGGGAACATTCACTTTTGACCAAATAAAAACCAAATTTTTAACAGGTCAAGGCTTCAGAAATAAATACAGAGCTCGTGTCTTCAGATTTATCTTCCTAAAGACTGAGTATAGGAGGGTCAGAAATGGGGGTCCCAGAGACACGTGGTCCGACACCTTGACTGACTTTTGAAATGTTCTACATGTATCAGTTTCTCCCACCTTATTAAAATAAAGATCTTGTGAGGTGCCTGGGTGGCTCAGTGGGTTAAGCCTCTGCCTTCGGCTCAGGTCATGATCCCAGGGTCCTGGGATTGAGTCCGGCATCAGGCTCTCTGCTCAGCGGGGAGCCTGCACCCGCCCTCACCTGCTTGCCTCTCTGCCTACTTGTGATCTCTGTCAAATAAATAAACAAGTTAAAAAAAAAACACAAACTAATATAAATAAAATAAAATAAAGATCTTTTCAAAACAACTTATGACTTCCGAAGAGGGGCTACCAAACGCTTCAGGATGTGCATTACGGGCCAACAATAAAAGCTGTGCTCTATGGTGTGTGTGGCGGCCAGCCCCGGGCCGGGACCTGCACAGAGCTGCCTGTTCACTGCAGCCACATGTACGGTGAGGTCCAGCTTGGAAGAGCATCTAGAAGGTGGGAGATGGAGAGACAAACTGGAAACGAAGAAGGAAGAATGGATGGGCCTGGAAGGCCATAGTTGCTAACACTGCTTTCCCTCGTGTTTGTTTGCTTTTAAAGACTTCCGTGAGAGAGGAAGAGAATCCTAAGCGGACTCCTTGCTGCGCATGGAGCCCAGTGCGTGACCTCACGGCCTGGAGATGATGACTTAAGTGGAAATCAAGAGTCGGGCGGATGCTCAACCAACTGAGCCACCCTGGTGGCCCTCTCCCTGCTGCTTAAAATGATCAGCGAACCGGTGGTAACCAGTGGACGACAAGGGAGTGGCAAGGACGAGAAGGACGCCTCACGCACACTTAGTGATCTAACTGGGTGCTACAAGACTCACGTTATCGTTTTGAGGCTCCTCCTCCGTGGCCGCCTGGATGCCGTAAGCTAGGAAACAAAGTAATGCTCCGATCCACAGTAACATCGAGAAGCCCCCAAAGAGCTGCCGACAGAACTTGACCCACTCGGGGGTGGTGGGAGGCGGGGTGAGCGCGTTGGGGCCGTCGCGAGCCAGGATCTCCGCAGCCCGAGCAGTCGTCAGGCCCTGAGAAGCAGAGGGATGGCAGTTAGACGCACTGCCCCAGAACGCACAAGCGCAGGTATCTACCGGCTAGCTTGAGAGCCCCAGCAATGGGTTTGGGAAGAAACAAAATCCCCCAAGCCAGAGAACCTATAAAACCTGGCAAGTTCTGATAAGGACCATCTCCTGGTCCGGCACACAGCTGTCCAAGCTTCCTGAGGATCCTACAACGCCCAGACGCATTTTAAATGGATCCATGCATAGATCTGCATCCAGTCTGATCTAAGTTAGGTAAGGGACGCAGGCCAAATGGTATTTTTACCAAAAAGATACAGCAGTGTTAACTCATCGATTCAGTTTTGCAAAATTAAGAGCTTTGAGTTCTTTTGCATACTGAATCTGTCAGGGATGGGAAGAAAGAAACCCTCTGTAAGCATCAAAAAAAAGAGAAAAACCTTCCCTGTAGGAATCCAACCTGTGAGTGGTTTAATAGCCAAGTTTTCAGTATAGAAGTCTACCCTGGGAACGGTAACTAAAAGGACTGTCTGGCTGGGAGGGTTCACACAGGTGCACATTCCAGCCCACCCCCAGGAACCTGCCAGCTTCAAAGTATTCACTGAAAAAAACCTCCCTGCACTAAAGCCTTGTGCTGCTCTAAATGGGCCTTAAAACCAAGATACGTGGATGGCACACAGTAGATACAAAGCTCCTATGACAAGGGGAAGAAAATGTGATTACTTTCATATTATCAAAATACCCAAGTGGGGGCGGGGGGAGAAGACAAAACCCATGTCTGCCCAAAGTATCTGTTAATACAGAATTTGTATTCATGTTACTTTAAATATTGGAGTTACCTAGGGAGTATGAGGAACAGGGAGATGAAAGCCAGGCAGTTAAGAGAAAGTGAGGACTTGGCTGGGACCCTCCCTCAAGTTCCTGGCGGAACCCCAGGACAGAGTAACGGACACCCACCATCCGAGCGCTGGGCACGGAGGCCGGGGCTACCCTCACTCTCCTGAGGCCCCTTTCCCAGGGGTTACTACAAGGGAGAACCCGTGCTCAGCCGCCCAACAGTGAGCGGCAGCTCCATCTGGGAGTCAGGCCTCCCCTCCGAGCCCAGGGCACCCATGCCAGCAGCGCCGCTGACAACTTCTTGATGTCAGCGATATCAAATAATGATATCAAATTATAGATATCAAATAATGGCTGCACAGTGGCTGGCACCCATGTGAGTCCCCAGAGTTTTTACATTTTGCACAGAATGTGCACATTTTGCACAGAAATAAGAAACTGCACCCTTCCCCAACTGTTTACTTTTATGTCATTCGTGCGGCAAATTTAATACCAGGTAACAAGGACCCACAACACAGGCTTTGCGGAAAGATTACTTTAAATGGGGTAAAAAGACAAGTTTTGGATGAATACTAGAATAACCAAGGTTCTGGAGCAATGGAGCTAGATGGCAAAAGTGCAAAAACTGAAGTGCTGAAGATTCACCTCACTCAAACATTCAATTCCATGTCACGAACGCAGAAGAACAGAGACAAAAATCTGTAATCGAAAGGTCAAGGAAGGAGCGCGGCTGTGGAGCCACTCCATTTCAAATCCGGGTGTTTCCCCTGGTTAGATCTCACCTGTTATAAAACAGGGACAATAATGTCCACTTTCAAAGTTGTCAGGGGCCAAGAAAATACTAAAGAATCCAAAAGCCTGAGCTTCACCTGGGGCACAGGGGATACTCAGAGGGTGCCTGTCACCCTTCTCCTCCCAGAGGCTCCAGGCTTAGGTCTGTGACATGGGAGAGAGGCCCCAGGGAATGATCCCGTACAAGTGAGACATGACAACATACTCGACTCAGGTCTGTTCCATATTTGCGATGAAGTTCGTCAAGGCTAAGTTTATGGTCATCCTAAGGGGAAACAGAAAATGAAAGAATTAAACACTGTCCCACGAAAAAAAAGGTTGGAGGAAAGCATTAATGTCACTCCTGGCAGGTACTGGCTCAGCTCAGCTAACAGGCTTTCCTTCCCTTGCAATGCGGGAGGCCTCTCACAGATCCCCAGCAGCTCGGAAGCCGCACAGCCCTGTGCTGAGAGCCCGCCCTGGAGGATGGTGGAAGCTGTGGGACAAGCCCCTTGCGACCCTCCACAGCTTCAGGAAGGCCCAGGAGTCTCGGCACTGGAGGGAAAACTTGCCGGCCTTCTTGGATGACCAGCACGTTCTAGACAGGCTGTGTCGGCGGAAGCCTCCACAGCTGGAGGGGCTCGAGGTCCCCCTCTGTCTGCTATCATCCAGAAACAGAGAAAAGTGGAGGCCCCCCCGATATCAACCACAGTTCCTTCTGTGGACCTTTGGTTATGCCAGGGCGGTGGATAACCTTCCCAACGCGCTCCAACAGCCTGGAAAGTGAAAATTTTCCATATTGACCTCTACGGCTTGGTAAGGTCTGTAGAAACAACCACAGTAATGGCCTCACTTTTCAAATAAAGCCTCTGACTGAAGGATTCGGGGGGGGTGGTGGATATCGAACACCCAACAGATAGGATTCAATTAACTTACAAGGAGAACAGAAAGCAACCTGCCTCCTAATACTCACCATAGAAACTTCTTTCTTCAGTTCATCCATATCCCGCTCTTTCTTCGCCTTCTTCTTGTCGCCATGCTCTGAAACGGCTGCGGGTTCATATTTATCACGTCCGACCTACAGGAGAATGTGGGAGAGGTGAGGTTGTGTATGATGAACACACGGGAGACTGTGGAGCAGGGGATTTCAGCAGGTTTTAGGACGGCCAACAACAAGACAGTACTCGTGGAAACGCACGGGGAATGTAGATGCACAAACCACAAACTAAACAAGAGCGACTACGATTTTAAGTACTGCACGTGCACAACACGCCATCTGCACCCAAGGGCATTAAGACCAGGGGAGAAGTCATGGGAGCCACAGAAGGGTCCCGCCAGGCACTTCCATTTGGGGTGAACAGGGAGAGGGCGGTGCAGCCGAAATCTCTGCACCACCCCCTTCCATCCACCCCACTGAGAGAATGCAACCATCTTGACATTAGTAACTGGGGTGCTGATGTCTCCGCGTTCTGAACCAGCCAAGTCCAAGTTAGACTCCTGCTCTCTACCTCCCAGCAGCCATGCATCCTCGGGTGAGTCCCTGACTCTCAGGCTTCTGCTTTTTCCTCCCTAGCATGGAGAGAATCGCTGTGCCTACCTCCATGTAGTGTTTTCTGGGAGAACCAATGAAACAAAACCCTTAGATGCAAGTCACTTTTATCATTACGTTTAAATTCTCAGCTTTGCCAAGAAGCCATTAAAGATCCAATTTAATTTTTTTTAGGTCTTACATAAGAATAGTGACCTGTTCATCTTTTCTTATATGTAAAAAAAGAAGTTAGCCTAAGAATACTTAAAGTTATTTAAATAAAAGAGAGAGAGAGGAAAAAAAAGTCCTCTCCCCAGTCTACATCCCGAAAATAAAGCCCCCAAATGAAAAGTCCCTGGAAATGTTTTGACATGAGCAGGGAGGAGGAAAGCACGTGCATTGTCACACAGTTCACAGGATCCACCTACGCCCTCGTGAAAACTGGAACAGTTTTTAGAGAAAATGGTGATTCTATAGTTTAAATTTAGAGTGTTCCACATACCCCTCCCCCCACTCCGTTTAAAATGCTGGAGCTTATCTAGACAAAGCCTGAACTTGGTGCTTCAGAGCTTGGTCAGCCCAGACTTCGCCCTCCCTCCAGACACCCCCACCCAACAAACTGCCTCCCGTAACTGCCACTTTAGACGGAGCAGGGGAAGGAGAGAGCAGCACTTTTCTTAAAATGGATGCTCTGTCGTGCTACTGCTCCATTATCTTGTAGCTCTCCCTTACTCACTTCCAACTAGCAGAAGCGCACTGCTAGCTATGAAAGCAATTAACTGAGAACCTGTGTCCAGATCAAAATTTTACTGTGCTTATTAAAAAAAAAAAAAAGAAAAAACAACAACAACAAAAAAGGACACAGGTGTATCTCAGTCACAGCCAAGATGGCTGCAAATAAAATACAACACTCACTTGACTTTGGAAAACATCCTCTTAAGACTCTAAAGAGAAATCCTGCCCCAAATGAGTTGGTGCGGCCCACAAGCAGAGACATTTGTATTATTCATGCTGTTCAATAGCTGCGGTTCCTTCTGCAGTGTTCCTTGACTAACTTCTCCCACCAGAGTGGAGTTCTTTTGTTTCTATCTTATCTGTTAAGAATGAAGCAGTCTAAAGATAGTCAACATTCTTGAAATTCTCTCCACTGTGGAGCAACCACAACCACATTTGTAAGTGCCTCTTTGCAGAGAGCCCTCCGTACCAGTGTTAAAATGGAAAATAATCACACACTGAAAGCAAACACACAAATAAAACAGAAAGAAAAGACAGGGCTTCCACCAGACAAGAACCACAGCCTGAAGTGGGATTTCTTTCCCGTATTTAATGGGAAAGCACATCACTTAAAAATCATTTTAAAGGCATTGACTAGGGAATCTCTAAAAGACTATGTGGTCAGTTTGTATTGACTTTTAAAAGAGAGTTCACAATTTCTCTTTTAAGCAAGATATCATTAATACAAGTTTAATTTAAATATGTGAAAACCAGATTTAAAAAATCCCTCTGCCTCACCACCTATATGCTTGATGCTCAGACTTTCAGTATTTTCCACTCCAAAAAAGGGGGAGAGAATGATTAAGAGCGAGAGGCCCTGGACAGGTTCCAAAGTTGTATCCCCATTTACAGAAAAGCATGCTGCCTCCAGACTCAGTTATCAATGGTTAAATTGGCTGGGAGTTTGATTTCCTAATAGCTCCCATCCTCCCTCCTCATCAATTCATGCTATATAAGGCCGAGTTTTAAATGAGGACATCTGTGAGAGAGACATGGCAAGTATTAATATGTGGAATTTCTTCTCCTTTAAGATCTTAGTTTTTTCAATGGGCAATGTTTGTCCAGAAGACCAGACGTCTTTTACAATTCAGTTCTTCCCTACAAGTAAAACAATGACTTAATATCCGCTTATTGTGACAGAAACGAATTATTTCTTAAGTCTCCATTAAGACTCGATTATCATAGATTCGAAGCAGAAAAATATGTGTGTTTGTGTGTTTGGGGTAGAGGGAGTATAGGGTGGGATGGTGAACAATGCTAAAAATTGGGTGAGACAGCATTTTCTTTATTATCTCCTTTAAAAACATTTGGGAAAAATGAGAGAAACATGGTTTCCCCAATTGACTACAAAAACCTTTCCTGCAGGTTCTGGGCAGTGGGCACACATTCTTACTTCTTCAATCAGAAAACTCAGATCACTTCTCCTACACCCACCATGCTCCCTGCAATGGCACCCCCTCTCACACACCCCAAGGTCTCTGAGGGAGGATACAATGGGAAGCTCAAGGTTCCCATGAGGCCCCACATAAATGAGACACTGACTAGTGAAAATGATGAAGTGAGTTAGGTTCTGGTTTGTGTGTGTTTTTTCCATTGCTAATTTAGGAAGTGGGAGGTCACAAGGAGGGCAGGGGCGTGCCCAGTGTGACACGGCTGAAAATGGGTCCTTACTTCATCCTGTGCTTCCCAGGGATTCCATTCTCCAAAGATGCCCTAAGGAATTCTGCTACTGTTGGATCTGAGCAGTGGGAAAAGGTACCCAGGACATGGGAAAAGAAAACTCCCAACAAGAGAAACCAAGGTGAACACTAGTAATGAGGTTCACTCATGTAAAATCACGGACCACCCCCTAGATGTGCTCCTTTGTCTCTGTCAGTAACGAAAAGACTAAAGAGGGGACCCGTCCCACCACAGCAACAGATGGCCCTGGGGGCAGCCGGCAGTTCCATGAGCTTCAGACTTCTAGAACTGCTGAAGCTGCCTCCGGGCTACTGGGAAGTTCTGGACATCCATGCCCTTTCAGCCAACATTGCTGTGGTGGTTGAGGTAAGCCACCACCCCGCCCCCCCGCCCCGCCGTCCTGGATGCCTGCGGGACCCTCAACAGTCGGCCTCAGCTGCGTGTCCCTCCGGACGGCAGTAACATTTGGTGTGATGACTGAAGAGTCTAGAAGGCATTCTGACCGTTTGATTCATCAAGGGGCTGCTGTCAAGCCTGAAAACAAAACACCTAAAACCCGGCATGCCTGGCCTAAAACCTACACACAAACTAATAAAGCTTTGGACCAGCAAGAGGGGCCAGAAGGGGCGCTATGCCTTCCTTCATGTGGGGGGAAAAGCGGGGGTGGGGGGGGGGCACGGGCTCTTCCCATCTTCCCGGGATCGTGCATTATTAAATCATGCTCAAACACAACGGTGTACTTAGAGGTACTCTGCAAAGCCCGGGACCATGGGTAATATAGAACTGGGTTTTAATTAACATATAAATTACTGCCATTCCTCGCCTCCTATGAGAACCCCTTTCAACCTTAAAAAAAACAACCCATTCGGGGTATTTTTTTAAATCTCATCAGTTAAAACTTAAAGTATCAGAAACGATCAAGCCCAGTTCATTACAACCCCCAGTTGCGCCTAAATGACTAAGTGGTTTAGTTTGCGTGCAAGGAATTTTCTAGCCGGGGACCCAGGGCTCCGAGGTGGCTGTGGCCGGGGCTGAGGGAGGACACACACTGCCTGAATACTGCAGCTGTTCTGCGCCTGGAGCAGCATTTAGGGCAGTTAAAGAATGAATTGCCTTCTTCTGCAGGAGGTGACCCAGGGGACCACCACGCCACGCCTTCATATTCCTTGTCACTCACCTGAACATGCAGCAGGCTAGAGAAGGTCATGGAGCAAAGCCAGAGCAATGGGTCCCTTCATGAGACCAGCTCAGGACCTTCCTACTTGGGCTGTAGCCCACCCAGCTGGGCATGGGGAGAACCCAGCTCCAGCTCTAGCCAACAGGCTCCCCCAGCCTCCCAAACAAACTAGGCTTAACCTTCCTCCCCAATTTCTTAAGGAAATTCTTAAGGAGCTTGCCAGCCCACCTGACCTGCAAGTTTACACCCATAATCAAAAAAAAATTGTAGAATGTCTAAACAATCTATATACTTTAGATTTACTACCTCTTTTAAAATTCTTAGTTCTAATATTCTTCGTTCTTTCAGTGATTGAAAAGAAAACAAAACCCAAGCCTGTTTTTTCACTGGGGTTAACTCAGTTAACCTCCATCATTAGGCACCGGGTTATGAAGAGTTAAAACTTTCTGCCTGTTCCTTCCATCCGCTGCCCACCTCACCCCTTTTCTCATTTTACAGAGCACTCTTTGGCTAGTGCTACTCAAAAGATGCTGTCAGTTCGAGAGACAAGGATTACTAGCTGGCACCAGCGTTCCAAGAGGACTGAATAAATTCCCAGTCATCATTCCTCAGTTGGTACACGAAGCGTAGGGTATGAAGTAAACCAGCTGGCAGGCTGAAGAGGACAAAGGCAGCACAAGGCTCCAGACACAGGTCACCCGAACTGAAACAATAAAACCAATATGGCCCCATGGAAGGATCATGTGGAAGATGTAAGACAAACAGAAAAGGAATCGCTCCAAAGTGCCCAGGGGCCTTGGCCACAACAACAGCCTGGAAAAATAAATCCGACACCAAGACCCACTGATCCCCACAACTGACACTCTCCACTTTCAGGCCCCCAACAATACAAGCCCCAAAGACAAAGCACCAGCCACCA